AGGTCTCACACAATGTTTACTTTAAATATTTCATTGTTTGACTGTGTCAGATAGTCCCTTCCAGCACAGGCTGAATGCACAGGAAGGCCCTCACTGCCTTGACAAGGTGTGCCCAATCTCTGAACATCCTGGTGCCATCAGTAATGTACACTGGGCTGTACCAGCCCTCTGCTGTCAGGGGACAGAAATGTTTTCATTGCTTACTGAAATACCTCCACAGACTCCTGGACTGATATAAAAAGAGACAGAATACTTAAATGGCATATACATTTAGCATATAGAAAGACCAACTGGTTTGACCAAAAAAAGAAAATGCAGCTAATGACAGTTTTTATTCATGCACTGCTTTTCTGACTGCTCTATCACCACATTAGAAGCCTAAATTTGCAATTGAAAACAGCTGCTATCTGGCTTACTCACTCTCTAGTTCTTGGACCAAAGTAAGCAGTGTGTCCTACCAGAATCTCAATAGCTTGAAAAACATATCAGTTTCCATGAACTCTGAGACCAAGAGTTTTCTGCTGAGATTTTTCTCCAAGAAAGTAGAGCAGAACTGCTTGACAATGCTCAGAAACACCTGCCTCCTAATAAGTACATCTTTCTTGAGCTCAGTTTATTTTGTCTTGGAAGAAAAATAAAAAAGTGATCATTAGATCTAAACCCAAGCACATTCATTCACCTAGAAGCATGATCCAACTAATATTAGTCACGAACCTTAATGCTGGGCAAAGTGACTCACATTAATCCCATCAAGAATGTGCTGCTGGTACAGTTTGCATCAGCAGAAAAGCACATCTGTCTGTGGTAATGAGATTTATTGTGCAGGCAAAGTCCAGGAGTGTCTAAAACCAATTTAGCAATAAAACCTCAACTACTTTGGGTTGTCATGGAATTGACAAAGGTGTAAGGACAGATTTTCCTCCACCACTCACCTGGCTGTGTTGTTTGCTGCTGCACTAAATACTGAGACTGCCCATGAGGCATCTCAGCAGAGCTCTGGGGAAGTGACAGTAAGCTGAAAGGCATGGATCCTTTCTGGATAACCAAAAATCAGCTAGGAATGAGAAAGCAAAACTGCTAATGCCCAGACACAAGCTGTGAGCACCTTCCTTGTTCAGAGACAGGTACAGATTGCTTTTCTTCAAGTTATGATTCCCAGCATTCAGGAAGCTCAGATGTACTGTGTTATACTGGGAAGGTATGCTTTATATTGCTTTTGCAGTGATAATATACCCTTACTGCTTTGAAATGAGGCTTGCAAAGCCCAAAAAGGCAGCTGTATTTCTAAACACACAGTAACATTTACATTACAAGCAAGGATGTCAAAACAGGCAACAAAGCAGAAAGGGGAGTTGAAAACAGCAAATACACAGAAAATTTAGATACACAGAAGTTTATCCATGTTTACCCATATTCCAATGCTTAAAGAAGACTGAACACTTTGACATAAGCTGAAGAGCCCTTGCCAGCCAGACTGTTTGATGTTGTGTTGGCTCTGTGACAAAGCCAGTCTGTGCAGGAATGCTGGCATTGTTTTCTGATCAAAGGGAGCCCTAATGGCATTAAACCTGGGTTGTGGTCTGATGTGCTTTATTCCCTCAGCCATCAGTTCTCTACTCTGCCACCAGCTTTTTCTTGAGCTGTTGCATTATGATATTCTGCTGTTTTAAAGCATTCTCAGATGTTTATTTCAGCTAATAAGAATTGATATTCCCATATTTTCTGCTATGCTGGGCATGGAGACAGGAGGTTTCCATACACAGAAAAGGCTGCTTGTGATGGTGATACTCAGTTTCTGTTGACTCCAAGGATATTGCAAGGGGAAAGGGAAGCAGGAGAGCTTTAACAATTTTTGGATTAAACACTTGTGTAGGTAGTAGTTAAATATGTCTTTAAAATTAAGCATGTACTTATGTTCCTTTTCAAAAAGGCAGGTGTAGAGAAACTGTGGCTATAGCAGGATGTGAGTGGGTTACCCCAGTAACCTGTGCACCACCCTCACAGGATGAGATGCTGCCCATTTGTGCAGCTGTCTTGCTTTATACTTGTTTTTGCCTTCACAGATAGCAAAAGGGTCTTATAATTTCAAATAAAAGTAAACTGGTTTGCTATTACAAAATTGAACATCAGATGCTCAGAAAATACAGCTCCACTGATGGCAACTGAAGCACAATAGATTCAAGTGTCTTCATAACTCAAGTCTCAGTATGCTAGTGCTAGTTTCTCTGCTCAAATGTGACACAACCCATCTAAGAGCACTTTACATAGAACCTAAAGGTAGAGTTAAGTGTTTCTTCATTGCTCTGCTGCTTCCCAAGTTCATCTTGCCCACTGCAATCACTGTTGCTGCTGCAATTCAAATCTCACTTTTGTTGACTGTGATTGCACTTAAACATGGTGCCAACCAGAGTGAGCATGAGGGACTGTGAGAGTCAATGATGCTACAGGCTGCATATCAGCTCCTGTAGTCACATTTATCACCTGACTTTAAAACATTCAGTGTGCTCTAACACTGCCTCCTTGAAAGTCAAGCAGACTCTTCTTATAGTTTTTGAGCAGCTGTCATTGGTTTAAAATGACTTAGCTTAGTAGATATTCCATCTTCACTTTATAGCACGATTGACCTGACCTAAGTAGGTGAAGACATATCCCTACCAAAGCTGCAACAGGCATCAGGGATGGATGAAAAGACTTAATAGAAAACAACTTTTAGATCTTTTACAGAAGAACTCAAGCTGAATTTATTATGAAGTTCTTAAATGTCCAAACACATTTTATTGCCTTCTGGTTTCCAGATGGGTGTGCATCCAGAGCACCAGAATACCACAAATATGCTACTTTTTTTTTCCCAGCTGCAATCAGAAGCAGCTGTAACAGAAGGCTATAGAAAAGTCTGATTCTTAGAGTATGCCTGTCTCTGGTTTTCAAAAAATGAGAAGTTTAGATAATTTGAGTAAACTTTGTACAGACATCCAATTATTTAGGATTGTATTAGGATGCCCATTTCAGACTCTTGGAAGCATATCCTTCACTAGGTCCTTGCTCCTAATGAAGGAAGTGGAATACTCCAGTGGGTAAAATTCAAGGGACAGGACTCTTGTTTAGCCCAGCTCTAACAAAAAAGGCTGGCTCTGTCAGCATCGCTGGGATTCTCTACTGCACAGTTTTCCCACTGTTCTAGGGAATCACACTTCTAAAGCAATTTGTTGGATTGTCAGGTTACCACCCCTACTTTTTTTTTTTTTTAACGGCATCCATTTGCAGTGATGAATTTACTATTTTATTCAGCATCCCCCTGAATTCTATTCAAAATCCAGTAACTGATCAGCATTTTGGGGTTTAATCAGCAAGGAGTCAGCAAGCCCTAGGACCAGCTGGCTCTGAAATTTGAAGGCACACAACCATCTCAGAATCTGTACAGCACCTTGCAAGACAAGGACCACAAAGGCTTTATTTAGTATTTGCACATCCATTTCAAACCTATTGTCTGCTTTCCAAGCTGGCTTTACTGTCCTTTTACTCAGCAGGCTTACAGAGCTACCTGCACACACCCTGTCCAAAACATTTGCCCATATTAAGCAAGTGACCCCCTATGGAAATCTGCATGAAACTCGAGGTGAAGGGCAGGAAAAGGAAGCTGCTTTTAAAGTTTTAATTTTTATCTGGCTTTATGGAAAATTTGGAAATGGACAATTTGGAAATTGGACAAATGGAAAATTTTAAATCAGGACAAGGTTATAATTTAGCCAAATAATAAATTCATTAGTATTAGTTCCCAGTATCTAGAAAGAGCAAATAATATCTAAATAAACAAATCTAAGTAAGTGAAGACAAATACTAACTCATGGGCTTATATGGAAGTTGGCTGAAACCTGCAGCAATCCTGACTCATAATAAAAATGATTTATATAGAGACTTATTATGAACATTGCAGGAAAGGTGATAACAGACATGTACCATTTTGTTTACAGTAAAATTTCCTGTAAATTAAAGAGTTCTTATTCTTTGTTTGGTTTTGATTTGGTATTGTACCAAGTATCTGTTTATAAAAGGAAATATGACGGTACAAAGTGTACAAAGGGAATTGCAGAAGAGATTAAGAGTTAAGGTGAATTTGCTTTAAATTAAGTCCTAGCAACATAGACAGTGTAGAACCCATTATTATCTTATATAAGTAAAGAAAGTCAGTTCAAAGCAGATCTTTCATGCACCATTTTTGAGAGCTGAACTGCTGAAATTCAGGACAGAAAGCTACTCTCCCAAAAGATTTTAAAAAAAGGTTCAGGTGACTAAGAGATATGGCAGGAAAAAAAATGTTGTAGAGCACAACAAAGGAAAAGTTTGATATAAAGTAGGCACTGTGTTCCAAGGGATTAAGTATTGAGGATTTTCTCCTTTTTGTGGATTTGTTTATAACACTCCCTAAACAGCTTATTAAGGAAACTTTCTGAAGTCATATTTATATGACAAAGTATGTCTCAACCTCAAATCGTCCCATCCCACAGGGAATCTTCTGTGGGCACTCCTGGATGAAGATAATGTATTCACAGTTGAAAAAGAATAATGAAAAAAACACATGATATGTTTTATCAGGAAGCTAGAAGAGAACCTGTTTTGTAGAAACAGCTCCTTGGGTTGGATTCACGCTGGATCCAGCCTGGTATCTCCAGAGATCAGACTTCATGGATCTCCAAGGTCTCCACCCGTGGAAAGGAAATATTTATGGATGGAAGAACTGGATCTGGGTCATATTAATTCTCCTTCTACATATAACCAAGATTGACATGGAGGATAGAATTGTGAAATCAGTGACATTATCTGAAGGCCAGGAGTTACCTGTGTTCATGGGGTTTACTCCAAACAGTCCTAAGATCCATTGTTTGATATTTAGAGCTAAAAAATTAATGCTGGATTTTTAAACTCATGTAGTTAATCAGACCAGTTTGCAGCCAGTCCTGTGTATACAAGCTCAGTGGTTTAGAAGGTATGCTAGCACTCACCTGGGGGCATGTGTTCATTCATGATGACGAGTGATGCTGGCGTCGGCCTTCTTTTCCTGATCTGTAACAGGCAGAAACCAAGGGGAGTCAGCAGGGCCCATCAGCTGCCACACACACAAGGCAAAGCAAAAAATCTGTCTGGTGTCCTCCAGAGTATAGACCAGGCAAAGTTAAAAAGGAAACTATTTAAAGAAGAGCAGCACTTCACTGTCTTAGTGACAGCTTGTCTGGTCTGACAGCAATCAGGGTCATGCTGCTGCTTGTCCAGGGAGACCAAAGGCATGGGGAGAGCTGTCCAAAATACCTTTAGGATTTGTAATCATCTTGACTTCAGTTTTTTGGATATGTATTGCTGAAAAATATAAGTCCTTTCTTAAAATATTGACATTTAGCTTTGCATCAGGGAGATGATTTCATAGTTTCTGAGCTTGTATGTGCAAATATCTAGTGCTGCCATAGCTCTCTCAAGTAATAATTAATAATACTTTGCAAGTGCATTTAAGTGTTTGCAGGTATGCCTTCCAATGAACTCATGTTTCTAAACTGTTGTCAGAGGTGTTACTACAGTAAGAGTTCTTTAACTAAAAATACTCCTGTATTTAAGACCTTAAAAAGAGTATTTGCAATATAGCAGATTTTACATACCAATACATACTCCTGAATTGTATGCAATTCTTCAGCGTTTATCTGGGTAACTACTTTTGTTCCATTAACAGTGGTTGAACTACATCGTATTGGAATACCCTCTTATAATGCACACATTTGCACTGAAAGCTTTGTGTTGCTTCACAAAAGCCTCCAGGCCTGATATTCTATTGAATTTAAGACAGGGACCAGGAACATTTAAGCTAGAAACCATTCTGACACAAAACCTCAATGTCAGTGCATTTGTTCTTTTTTATTTGCTGAGCCAACATCTGTATTTAGCCAGGTTCAAATTTTGCTTTCAGAGGTGTAAATGGAAAGTTACATCATCAGGGTTAATGGGTTTATTCTAGATTACTGTAACTGTAGCTGACTGTAGAATTTACTATTTTAATTTCATCACACACCCACAGTGAAACTGTATAGCGCTTGGAATCAAGCTCACAACACCAGAAAAAAAAAAAAAAAAGGACTGCCCATAAATACCAGGCAGAAAATAGAGTACAGCATTTCAACAGCCATGGGAATTCCAGGAAATCCTAATCCTATGGTTCTCACAGAAAAACACCAGAACACATTCTGCTTGAATTCATTGCAGAACTGTTCTGTGAGGGATGGACAGCTTCACAGCTCAGAAGTGCCTAGAGACAAAATGAGGACCCACAAAAATTCTTTTCTGAACCCTTCCAATATTTCGCATTCAACGGTCACTCCCAACTCATCATTTTCTGGAAAAGCTCTCTGCCTTTTTAGAGACACAACATCAGTGTATTCAGGAAACCAGGTACAAATAATTTCATGGCTACTGGTATGGAACTTTCAAGGTTATAATATTCCCCTGGTATCATCTAAAATCAGATGTACCCAAATAGAAGCAAATGTTGAGGACAACTTGCACAGAGAGAAATATACTGGGTCACCTAATTAAGATTTATACAGTTTTCTCACAAAATTGCCTGTGACCTTTTATTAGGCACATCTACACATATCTGTACACAGTAATAGGTATCTTTTCCTCCTTTAACTCACTTCCAAAAGATACACATAATAATATATATATATTATTACGTGTATCTTTTAGAAGTGAGTTAAAACCTAAAATAGCACACATATTATTCCAACAAGGACATAAGTACAGCATATTTCCACATGTATATATTTTTCAGGCACATAAAACACTGTAAAAATGACTTAAAGACTGTAAAAAATCATGAGAAATGCAGGAAGTAACTGAAATGATGACTATTGTGCAAAACACTAATTGTATTCTCTCATGTTAAAATGAAAGGTAAATAAGATGTTTTCCCAATATTTCTGTTAGGTACCTATTATGAACTTTATGCTTTGCTTTATGTACATATAATACACTTTAATTGATTTGTTGAGAATATGTTCATTGAGTGTATTTATGTGAAATGTAAGTATTAGGGTAGAAGTGCAGTTACAGAAAAGGCACAACAAATATACATTAATAAACCTACCCAAGGTGAAGAAGTTTTATTCTGGCTAGAGGACATATCCTTCTCTCTCTTTAAGTATATCAAACATCACTATAACCTCCAGGGTATTTAATCTAAAGTCTCGCTAACATAAGCTAGAAAAGCCTTTAGGCCACAAATATCCCTTGTGCTCACTCACATCCTGCCCCATTCCCTGGAAACAGTGAAGGAAACTCATCCTCCTTACCTGCTCAGCTGCCTCAGGGTCTATTTGGCTCTGAAACAGGGGCACAGCAAACTGTATTTTTTTGGGGCTGTTGGGCTCCATGGCGATGCTGAGGTGAGGCAGAGGAGAGGAGAGCCTGGAGCTGGAGCTGGGTCTGTGCTGTGCCCCGGCGCCGTCGCCGCGGCCAGGCTGGAGCTCCGCAGGAACAGCTGTAGCTCCCGACTTAGCCCGGGAATCTGCGCCAGCCCAGCGACTCCCGTACTCCACATCCACAGAGATGCCACTGGCTTGGCTATTTTCTTTTTTTTTTTCCCCTCTCCCCTCTCTTCAGCAGCCCTTCAGATCCTCTCAGCAGAAAGCTGGAAGGAACAATAAGCTAATTGTGTACCGGCTCACTTCCCCATATGCCAAGCATTCACTCAGGAGCTAATTGAAAATGCAATACTAGCGCTGCACGGCCTGGAGCCTTGGGATTTGAAAAAGAGGATCTCTCCACCATATATTACTAACTGGCTGCTCAGAAGTGCAATGCAAGCTCCCTCTGAGTATTGCTGATGGGCTCTTAATTATTGATGAACACAAATCAGGAAGTTTTCAGATTTTGGGGGTGGAGGTAGCAGAAGGGGTGGATTCAAAAATTCGATCTCTGTTACAGTGTGCCAGAACTGCTCTCCTCTTTGCACATATCAAACAATTCCCTTTACTCTTTCAAATATTTTTTTAATCCTACAATTTTAGACTCCACTAAATCTTACAGGAAGATTTCTGATGATGATTCTACAGAGCTGTCCATAATCTCATGACATTTCTCTGGTGCGTTTGCACCTTAGGCCTGGTTTTCATATTTAGACTGTGATTTCTTTTGGTGGGCTCCGTTTCACGTGACTCCAGATACTGAGAAGACTCACATTTGAGCCAGCTCTCTGGGCTCCCTTGTGCTAAGCACATCAACAGGCTTCTCATTCTATCCAAGTCAAGTGGGATGTAGTGTTTACTCAAGATTACATTTTCTCTCCATTAACTTTAGAAAAAGGAAAGATGATTCAGACTAGTTAAACCACTTTTGGATGACTAAAATTCAGAGGCCAAATCCTACTTAAGGGTACAAAATCTGTGCCTCATTCCAAGACCAGGAAAAGAATTTGGCCAATCGTATCAATAGTACTCCTTCATGAATATAATTGATTTTCATTTGTAATTTCATGTTATTTCAAAAGAAGTGTGTGAACAACCCAGCAACAATCCAGCAATCAAAACAACATCCAGCAATCACTGATCTAGCCTATCTCTTTGCAAAACTCAGAGGAATTTGAAAATGTTCAGGCCACTGAGAGCACTGAGGATTTTCACAGTTCACCACAAGCTCATTGAGTCACTGAGTACTTTCCCACCTGTGCCAGTGGAGGCGGTGGGGAAGGAGTGAGAATTGTGGGTGAGAAAAATGCACTGGCCATACACACAGAACAAACCAGCCAGTCAGACATGAAATACTGTTTGACTTTGATTTTTGCAAATTAAAACCATGACACATTAGGAACACGGGCTGTTTCTGAGCAGAGGCAAGCACACGAGCTAGCTGGTTTGGGAAGGACCTGATAAAGCTTAGGAGGGGAGGATACACTTTAATCTAAGGATCCACTTGGCTCAATGATCAAAAATAACTCTCCATGAGGGCCAAAATTTCCCTCCTTATCCAAATCAAAGCTACTATGAACCATAGTGGCTACCAGCTAACAGCTAGTAGCTGGCAACTCTCCTGTTCAATTTCTTATGATAGTTTAGGTGGAATTAACTTGGACTTTTGAATCACAGAAGAGTTTGATTGGTCAGGACCTTCTGGAGATACTTGGTCCCACCACCCCTGCTCGAAGCAGAGCATGAGACCAGCTTATTCTGGGACATCTCTGTCTGAATCCTGAATGGTTTTGGTGCTTAAGTGAAATGCTTAGCTTCATTTACTACAAGAAATGAAAGAGATGCACAAAACACTGATATTCAGTGTTTCATATGCCCATTTTTAAGCCTTCACTATTCCTACAAAGACAAAACATAATTTGTTTTATAGACTTCCACAGTTAGAGCAAGAGTGCAATTGTAAAAGTTGTAGTGGCACAATGAAGTCTAAGGCACTAAAGTAAGAGAGACACACTCTGCTTTCACCAGGACAATTAGAGAGTTGTTTTCAGGACAGTCTGATTATCCAATTTCACAGTTCCTTCATGCACAGATGTGCCATTATCTTCAATGACAGCTTCAGACATACCAGGGATATACACACACACATACACAGGGTTGCACCTGGGGGAAGACATAAGCAGGGGTCTGAAGTGGCTTTCCTTTTGAACTTTAATACTTGAAATAAAATAATGTTTGGTTTTGCTGTGAGATAATGTGAGAAAAACGTTTTCCAGATCCATTGCTACCATAAGTATTAATAAATTGTATATTTTAAATATCAAGTTTCTCTAGAAAATACCTTTTTTTCCATAAAATATCTATTCTAGATGTCTACAAACTTCATGTATTAAATTGTACAATTGCAATTCTAATATATGTTACTGATCACAGGAGCTATAATTATCACTGCAAAGGCTTAACATTTCTTATGTTAATGATAAAGTAATTTTAAAAACCATATTCAGACAGTAAAAAATTATTAAAATATTAAGTGCTCAAAAGATTATAACAGTGTGTTTCAGCTCTAGATTGCTGGACATTGCTGTCCAAAGGAATTATGTCTCAAATGCATCTTTATTAATGGTATATAAGAAACAAGCTGAGCAACCTTACAAAAAGCCCAAACCAACAAAACCACTTTTTGGCAGTTTCTGAAGGGAGACAGACAACAGGACAGACCAAGACACAAGGACTAATCCTCAATGGGGCTGGCTAGGATTGGGAGACAGGCCCCCCAACAATGTGATATGGAAGCATTTGCCTCCTGCAGCTTTTCTCCCTGTGCCTATTTGGAGCTGGCAGCCCAACAATCTTCACATGCACTAAAACCATAACAGTATTTTTAAAATGGTATAAGAGGCATAGTGAGAGAGCACTCAGCTATAGCATTTCAGGATGCCTACCTTGGCTCCCTCTTACACCAATTTGCAGCATTAGAAATCTGCAGGCAAAGTGTGCTGGCATTTTCTATAGACTGCATCATAGTCTGGGGAGACTGAAACACTTTTAAGTACTGACACATCCTTGTAGTTCATCTTCTGTTTTTAGTGCACTCCCCACAACTTCAGTTTCAGACGCCTTCATGATTCAGCTAAAACCATAATGGAATTAAAAATAATAAGAACTGTCCAAGATCTTTCCTTCCTATGTCATTCAGTATGTTCTGGTATGAAGCCTTTTAGAATATCCTGCTGTAGGGATGAGCCATGGAAGTACTCATGGCATAGTTCCTGCTTGAGCCATTTCCCCTGGTGTCTAGAAAAGGTTTATATCTTGTTTCCAGCCAAAGACAAGGCTTCTGGGATGGCAGCTCAAGGGTGTTGGTTCTGCACTCTTTGCACAATTTTTATTGTGGCTCTGATCTACCTCAGCTCCTCTGGCATGGTCAGAGACTACTGCAGCATCACTCTGGAGAGGAGAGCTGGAGTTCCTTGTAAAACAAACCTGCTTAGGGCTTTGGCTCCTAAATCCACCAGTGCAGATGCAGAGAAGCATTAATTTACAGCACCCTGTTCCAACAGGGGGCCTTTGCAGAGCAAGGGCTCAGCTTGGATGTGGCAATTCTTCCAGTGTGCCTCAGACACAACTTTAATCCCCATCCTAGCCACTGATCTGTGAGTGATTTAACAGATATGTTGCCCTGTGCTTTCCCTGGGCTCTCCAGCTGGCCCCTCTCCTCACAGCAGTGCATCCTCAGCATGTTGCTGGGCAGCCCCAGCAGCATCAGAGGGAGAAACACTGCAGAGCACTCTGGCTTCCTGCTACAGCCAAAGGGGCTTCCATGTGCCCCTTCCTGCTGCCTTTTTCTAAAAACTGATGGACAGCTTCTTCCCTGCCTTTCCTTCCCTTCCCTTCCTTGCCCAGACAGGGGCATCAGTTTGCCCTTTGGGGCTCTGCACTGTGCCTCACTCATGGGTGCTAAAATCAGACAGAAGCCTTCCAAGAATAAAAAATTACATATTCAAAATGAGACTGAAATTTTCCTTTCCAAATAGCATTGCAAACAGGGTGACTCCCACTGAGCTGCTGGAAACACAGTCTGCTCTTTATATATAGAAAATGCAAAGAATTTAAAATTTGCCAGGGAGGTAGAATGCAGAGCAGATCCCATTTGCCTCATGAGTACCAAATGCTGCCACAGCCATGTCAAGAAGAACAGAAAGTCTTTCTGAGCAGTGACAGAGTCAGTGGGACATTCAGTGAGAGCTGTCGGCCCAGTAACAGTCTAACCCAAATTTCCATTGCCAGTTCTTACCCATAGAGTATCAGGTTTGGACTTGTTTATGTACTAACTATATATGTGGATACATAAAGCCTAGATAAGTAAAAAGATACAGCTATTTCTATTTATACAAGCTCTTAAGTTAAGATAATAAATAATTCCTCAGCAGTATGGTTTTAATCAGAATCAGTTTAAAGTTACTTTATCTGAGCACAGAAGAACTTACACTGTCTATTCCAGTCTTCCTCTGAAATTCACAGCTCTCCACACTTTGAAGAAATGTACAAACATTTACTGCTAGATCCCATCCACTACCATCAAGAGAATACACACATCCAGAACACAGGAAAGGAGCTGGATTAATGGGACATGACCTGAGCAGACAGTCAAAGGATTCTTGCCTAATATGGACTATAGTTCAATAGTGCAGGAAGCAAAACTCTGGTACTGATTTTAGGAGGGTATTTCAGCAGGAAAAGATGCTACAATTTGCTTTCTTACCAAGAATAGAGTAAATCTAATACATCTTTCAATTAAAAAAAATCTGTATAGTGTACATAGGTTTTAGAATAGAATTATATTACGTTATTTCCATATTAAATCTTTAATGCAAAAGTTGACTGACTATATCACTGAATTAAACAACTGAAATATAAAATTCAGTTGTTACTGTAAATTTTTTTAAACAAAAGGTAAAATATAGAACACATAGAAGATAAACCAAGGAATGAACTTCCACAGTTTCAGAATCTGAGTTAGAAAATTCCTGTGCAAACACACCTTCCCAGGCAGAAAATGAAAAGTCACCAAGTACCTATAAAAGCTCAGTATGCCAATTTCAGAACATGTTCTTAAAATTCTCATTTTTGA